CACTTCTATTAAAAACCGGAGTAGACTGCATTCTGATCTTGAATGCTACAGTAGTTTGCCCACTTCTATTAAAGAACAAATTAGTATACAAAGAAGTAATTTACTTTTAAAGTTAATCATTATAATAGACACAAATTAATGGAACTCTGTAATCATTATTACATGCAATGTATTTTTTAAATGCACGCAGTGTGAGTATGCTGATTTTACATGGTGCTTGTTCTGTTTCAAATGCTAACATATGCAAGGACATATGTTCTCAGACGCAGTTTGTGTGGACAGTATGGCCACTTGCTGATTTGGCACAAGCCACAGGCATCTCAACTCTTCAATAAGACACAGAAGTTGAATTCAACATAATATTTATTCTTAAAGCTAAAGTAGAATGAGAGACAGGGAGTGTCTAGCTAGGATGAACAACATGGTGTTTGTATTGCTTCAAATGCTGACATACGCAAGGACATACGTTCTTAGACCCAGTTTATGGGGACAGTATGGCCACTTGCTGATTTGGCACAAGCCACAGGCAGCTTAACTCTTCAATAAGACGCAGAAGTTGAATCCAACATAATATTTATTCTTAAAGCTAAAGTAGAATGAGAGACAGGGAGTGTCTAGCTAGGAACTTTACTAACCAGAGGCAAACAGTAAAGGGTATGAGGGAACGTAACATGTACAATAAACAGGGCAAAAGACAGGCTGCTGTGACAGCACATTCTACACCTGGTATCAGGAGATACAATTATATTAATACTGCAGCCATATTGCAACAAACACAATAAACATCAAGTCCATTAAATAGGTCCATGAATGTCTAGAAAATAAGCACAAAGGGGGCGCCTTTCCTGGTGCAGGTCAATTTTATTTCAGTAAACATAGAGTAAAAAACCGAATAGTACTCACAAACATGAGTGTCACACAGCCATGGAATAAGAGCGGACAGGCCATAAGATGTCCACTAGGCGATTCCTGTGTGTAGTGACGTTAACGCATTTCCGGGGCACGCCCCCTTCATCAGAACATAGCGTCACCTTTCTCATCTCCAACTTTAAAGTTTGTGTGGCCAATCAGAGGCGAGCCATGAAGGCTCGTCACGAAATTAGTGCTGTCGCGGCTGTGTCCGTCTAGGGAACCATGTTAAGGAGGAGTGCCGCGATCAGCCAATGGGGACCCGGAAAGGCTCCACCTACTGGGTGCCGCTCAGCCTATCACGGCACCCTAAAACGTGATAGGCTGAGCGTCGGCAACACCCAGTAGGTGGAGCCCGAGCCTTTCCGGGTCCCCATTGGCTGATTCTCTAGACTCTCAGCTTTCCCGGCTTTTTTGGGGCAGCATCCTGCAGTATGCCCAAGAGGATTTCCCATTGAGGATTGACAGTTCGTGGCGCTTCACTGCTTTTACTTTGTTACAGGTCCATGAATGTGGATGACTTGTCCTCAGGACCTGACAAAATAAAAGAAAGATCTTGCAAACATATATTTATGAGCTGATAAAGGAAGGGTGGAGTCTTCGATGAGTCTTCAGTATCCTGATCTTGACACATCCTATAACAGTCCATGAAGACATCAGGTCACTTGTCCAAAGGTGGTAAAGCTTGCAAAGTCCTCTTTGTGTGAAATTAAGGGGAACATTACTGGTGGAGGAACATTACTGGTTTGCAGTTGTCAGGTCTAGTTTTACACACGGCAGGACTAGGCTGAAGTTGTAGTTGGTCCTCTGTGGGCAACTCTGTAGTATCTAATGAAATAGTGATTTAGAATTATTAGTTACACGGTCCTTGCATTGTTGTGCAAAATCTAAAGTATAGATTACTGGTTACCTACTGAAGACTCTGTCTTGCTGTTCACAGTAGTAGTTTGAGTTGTTTTGTCACTGATGCTGTTGTTTTGTGCAGTAGACGATTGCTCACCAGCCTAGTATGGTCATAGGTACTGTCTTTACAACCATTGAAGTGTTCATGTACTTTGTGCACACTTTGGATATCTCTTCACAACAGAAGCATGATTTTGTTATCGTTGTCAAGTGATGACATGTAATCAGTCAAATCGACTAAAAGCCATGAAATGTGTTATCTGGTGTAGGGATCTCCACTCTATCATTATTATTGCACTTAATGAGTGTAGGAAGGTAAATTCCTTTTATGTCTGAAATAATTAATTCTTCAGTGGGAGAAATTCCTCATGTGATTTCTACAGTGCTAAAACATTACTTTTACAATAAAAATGTCAAGGAACTCTAAAGTGGCAAATGAATGGCTGCTTTGATTGTCTAAAACAGCATATATCTGGACAGCTTTCTCTCCCTTCCATAATTTTATGTAGGTGTAGGTTTAGAATCCTACTTAAAGGGGCCTCGGTGTAAGGGTTATATGTGCCTTTCACTGTCACATTCTGAGCACTGAACTGTAGCTTGCAGTGCCTGGCAAAGTGCTCTGTATATGCGCAACATCTGAAGCAAATGTCATGGATTCTTAAAAACCTTTGCATTCAAAGGGCTCTACCTTAAATGAACAACATTTCCTGAAAGTATGTGGTTTGTCGTGAATGAGACAGTAGGAGTTTGAATCTTTTCACCTTTCATCGCTGTTGCCACTGATAGTGATTGTAACTCCCATCTTTCTAACGGAGACAACTTTTGCAAAGTCCCTGTATTCATTGGTTAGGTTTTCTCTTCTTGTAGTTTGGGGGCTAGGAATTATTCATTGAGAAGCTTGGATTTTTGTAAACTCTGGCTAAGTCTTTGATGAACTTCAAGAGGAAGGAAAAAGGTGGAAAGCAGACTTGATGTTCCTCCTTATATCTTAATCCCACTTCTGCCCATTTTCTTGGATACTGTCAGGCAGTTTTTCTGTTACTGGATTTATACCATGTGCAGTGTCTAGTAAGCTAAGAACTGGTAGATGTGGGTCTTGCTTGACAATTTCAAGCTCAATAAGATCACTACATTTCTATAACTATTGGTTGTCTCTGATGGACAATCTAGGAAGGTCCTGTAATCATTTTAAAAAGGCATGTTAGATCACTTTGCGGCTTCCACAAGTTTCCTCTAATCCTCTTCCATGCCTAGCTAAAGCCTTTGTCGGGTTCATGGATGTGAACAGTTTTAAGTCTCTTAACACATGACTGAGAGCCTAACCATCTAACCATCTGATCAGCGGATCAAGATGTTAAGGTCCTGAACCAATGAGTTTGGTTAAACTTACTTTAGCCTTTGATATCTTATGGTTCTTCTTTATTACCATTTTCTAAAACTTTTCATTACCCGCATCAAGAGAGTAAGCCTGGGGCCTGGTGGTAATCCAAGAGCCTAGCCATTGATGCAACCACATCAGCAGCGCAAGACTCACAATGCCAACTGACTGGCCAAATCCAGAACCTGTACTATTGTAGGAAATGACCATGCCACTCTTTTATGGTAAATACTGTAATATGATGCAAGTATAACTACTTGTCTAATAATGTGGAAGATACACTATCTCTTTGGCTGTAGTTTTCTATTACCAAATGTACAAGAATCAGTTATGGTGGTCTACTGGAAACTACCTTTAAAAGTGTGTTTGTTCTCCAAGGTTCAGAAAATTAGTAGTTAGTAGAAGCCCAAATTAGCAGTTTTAGCAAAATGTAAGTGAATAATCTGAAAATTACACTGGTATTAAGTACACAGAGTACATCCAAGCCTTGGAACGCTATGCCTGACTTGGCTGTTTGGCTCACATAAGCATAAATGTTTATCCTCTATTACTGGACATATGTGAGAATTTGTGCAGCATATTTGCATTGTGTTCATATATAAACCTGGACACTATGCCATGTAACTCCTCTTCAATCCCACTTTTCAGACAGCAATAGTCAATTATAGCAAACTGTATCATCAGAACAGAAACGGTTAACACACTGTAAACATTTTTGGCTTTGCTGCTAATTTTCCGTGGCCACTCTTACTGCGGTTTGGATCATTCTCTGTCCTGGCTGGAGATTTAGTGCTACACACAGAGGAAGAGGAGGCTGAGCATGAGTAAGTATTTCTATTTAGTGAGCCAAATACAGTGACAGAGAAAAGTAGGGGGATGGTATAACTCATATGAGAATGTAATGTATTCCCCAGACCCCTAATTTTTGTGCCTTGCCCTAGACACCCACCATTGTACTATGCAGTCATCTGGTTTGGTATATAATAATTAGATTTCTTTATTAATGGAATTCCATAATGGGATAATTTATCAGACCACGACTTTGTATGTTTATATGACCATTCATGGGTTGTATAACATTTTATGTCCCCTACAGCTCTATTTTAAATCATACATTATATCTTCTTTACATGGAATTGCAGATTGTCAACTCCTATATAGATGCTTCCAGAAGTGACTGTATTTTCTTATTTTTCTTATGAGGGATGAGCCCTGTTAGTGCTTCTTAACTGTAGCAGACAAAAATCAGGAACGACCTGCCAGACAGGATTGTGCTGTCAATCTTCTCAGAGGCCAAATTCTTTGAGGCACAAAATGGATGAATGGGAGTTAAATTTGTCAAGAATATTCACAGTATGGTTTGGAGTTCTACTAAATAGTTCTACTATGTTGACTGCTCTACTACAGGGGAGCACACTGTAACTCTTTCCATATCAGTTATGCTACATACTTCACTGCCAAGTTCAGTTTCTTACTGTAAATTGCAGAAACAAAAGAGGGAAGTGCTCAGAGTAAATTTGACATCAAGCTAAATACAGTGAACTCCTTGTTATCTGGACCTCAAGCTACTGGCATAAAAAATGGAGGACATATTAGACATGTGTGGTGGGAACAATAGCCAGCCTGCTATTGGCATTTGCAACAGCCAATAGCAGGCTAGCTATTGCACCCGCCCACTGCCAGCTGTCAATCAGCAGAGGAGCGGATCTGATAGAGAACTTTCTCTATCAGGTCTGCTTCTCTGCTGATTGAGAGCAGGTAGTGGGTGGGTGCAATAGGTTGGCTATTGCTCTCACCAACTGCCTGCTGTTTACATTCTGCTGACGGCTGCAGAATCTAGCCACTGGCAGATGAATGGTGCCGCAGGGGCAAGAGCCGTAGGAGGGAGGAGTTTATACATATGTTTAACAGTTACTCTTAAAGGAGAACTATGGGGTTAAGGCTTTTCCCCATAGTTCTCCTTAGGGTAACGGGAGGACACAAACTAGCGTCCTCCCATCACCCTAAGCTCAGTATACCGCGAGCTACAGCACAATTATGTCTGGATCCGCCCAGCTGCGTGAGTGACAGCTGGCTCTGACTATCTAGAGGCAGAGCCAGCTGTACTCGCCCCCTCCCCCGTCCGATCCGCCAGTCAGCGCTGGCAGATCGGAGCGGGAGGGGGGAATTCAGCCCCTCCCCTGTCACGGCAGAGGGCTGTGACAGGATCGAAAGGTGAGCGAACGCCGGTATGTGTTTGCTCACCTCGCGATCTACTGAGCCGACCTGTGACAGTCTCATTGTCACAGGTCGGCTAGAACTAAAAGGTAAGTGAAAAGCATTCACCTCATAGTTCTCCTTTAAGCAACCGGAAACTACATTTATACGCCATCTACCAATCCCCATGGGTGCCGGATAAAAGGGAGTTTACTGTATTTCTTAGACTTTAGGATTCTAGATTGGATTTTCTACAACCTCTATCCCTAATTTCCCTCGCACTATGGAAAACAATGATGGGTAGACAATGTCTGACTGTTTTGCTTCTTTGAGTCTGTGTCACCATGTGTTGGTATTTCAGACAAACTGTTTGCTGTAAACAAATCTGCAAGTAAATCTAATCATATGTGTAAACTACAACTTTGTTATTCATTAATGGTATTTCAAAGTCTTTGTAGAATATACATTCCCTTGGCAACCTCATTACATGAAAGAGCTAAAGACCAGCTGTTCTTTGTCCCTAAACTAAAATGAAGATGCTGCTCTGGGCCTGGACCTGAATTTGTGTGATCTGCCCTCTTTAGTTCCTGGAAAATCAGTCAATTAGCTAAGCCAATTAATCCAACGTAAAGTATACTCGCTTAGTAACATGGTGGCTAAGTAGATCACTGTTCTGATTTAGGTTTGATTACCACAAAAGACACAAACTGTATAGAAATTAAAGTGTATTTCCACTTTTGCAGTCAAATTTGAGAAAACCCCTCTATGTGTGTGTTATATGCTCCCATTCACACAGCAACCATACCTTTTTAAAAACATATTTCTTACCTTTTTTGCTGTTTTGCACCAGATCATACATTGACACTACAGGCAAACATATATTGCTTAGAATAGTTGCCAATGTCAAGATAAGGGACACAAGTAAGGACATTTTAAAAAGTGCATCAATATACAATGTACAATCAGGCATTTTAGATCTTTATCCCTTTGTTAGGGCAGACAGTGCTCCACAACTGATAATGAAGATCAGCCAGCACAGTGCTGACAGGGTTAATGATAACCATTAACTCCTCAGCCCCCTCCTTAAAAGAGAACTATGGGGTAAGTGTTTTTCCCCATAGTTCTTGTGACGGACTGCACCGTCACTGTGCTAGTTGGAGGGGGCTGCAGACTGGCCTCTTACCCACCGATTATGGCCCAGCAAGAGAACAGGAGATTTTAGGGCTAAATGTACATTTTATATGCAGACAGTGACTGTTGCCCTCTGGGAAATTATATGTTTTAAAATGGTGGAGGACAAGGACTTGGCCACATGGTTTGTCTATTCAAAATGGAGACTTAATTAAGTCAAGTCAGTTGTATAGAAGTTGCATAGCTTTCCCCTCCCCCCCCTTACCTGTTATCTGATGCTCACCCTATTGTACTGTGACTGTGCATGTAAATGTCTGATTCCCTGTGTAAGCTGTTATCTGTGTTTGTCATGAGGGGGAGGGTAGGGGAGGGGTTGTCTCTAAAGTGAATGTCCTTTGTTTAATAAAGGAGTTGCTCTTTCTATGTTGAACCTTCAACATGAGTTTTGCCTCGTGATTGGGGGTTAGGGGCTGGTTACTGCGAATCTGCTGGCTGAGAGTGGGGTTTGGCGGGCAGGAGACGCTCTTTGGCGGAGGTACCCAGTCGAGGTACCAGGCGGTCCGTCACAGTTCTCTTAAGGGTCACGGGAGGACATATACGAGGACATATGTCGAGATCCACCCAGCTGCGTGAGTGACAGCTGGCTCTGCCTATCTAGATGCAGAGTCAGCTGTACCCGCCCTTCCCCTGCCCCCCCCCCCCCCCCTCGTGGCCGAACCCGATTCCAGGCGATCAATCCGCCGGGCCAGAGTCGTCTGATCGTTGGACAAGGCAGCGACAGATGATTCCAGGTGAGAGACGGATGCGTGGATGCCGGCTATGTCCCTCTTCAGCGCGTTCTCCATTTGCGAGACCATGGCGGCCATGTCCTGCCGCGTGGGGAGGGAGAGCAAGATAGCGGAGATTTCGCTAGATGATAGCGAGGGTTGTTGCGACAGCGGCGTCGTGAGTGGGAGACGAGGTTCTTCAATGGGGCTGGAGCAGCGTGTAGAGGTGGCCTTTCTCCGGAGCTCGAGGTCGATAGGATCAGGGGCGGACGGCAAGGCCGGGGGTTCCCGGGGTTGAGGAGGAGTAGTAGGCCGCGAAGCCGTACCTTGCGTCTCGGGGGCCATTTGCCCCTTGGAGGAGCTGCGAGTAGAGGCGGCTGGTGTGGAGAGAAATCGCTGTAAGGATGTCTGGGAGCTTCTGTCGTCGTTAGAGCGGGGTTTGGGCTTCTGAGACATCAAAAACGAGGTTTTGGGATGCCGTGGTTAAATGGAAAGTCCCAGGTGATAGCAGAGCTCAAGCAATGTGCTTCCTTACGCCGCCATAGCCAAGCCACGCCCCCCACTTCCCGATCTATTGAGCCGACGTGTGACAGTTTCATTGTCAAACGTCGGCTTGAACTATGAGGATGAGTGATTTTCACTCACCTCATAGTTCTCCTTTAACATTACATATATTTTATAACTGTAGCAAAGACCCCTGAAGGAGTCACTAGTCATGTTTTGCAGATACTGTTCCAGGTTTCCAGCTCCAGCAAAACCAACACTTCTGGCAATGAACAGGCTCGAGTCAGGGCAGTATCTTCTCCAATAGTAACAGTAATAGCACCAGGTCCTGTGAGAGTGACCAAAAATAGATTCTTGATCAGGGAAAAGCCAGAAAAATCTATGACCCTGTAAGAGCAGTCACAGTCCTTGTACTGCACCAACTGGCTTCTGTTCCTCTATGTATGGTACCTGAGCAATAAATCCTTCTTGCAATGTCCAGACACCAGCTCCTCTGCGACACTCTCCAGCAAGAAGATTCTTCTCCAGATCACCCTCCATAAGGTATTTACTCTAGTCATAAGTTAGGGCTCTAAGCCCCTAGCACTAGGCACATTCTGAGGCCAAGGCCTTATAATCACATAGTCATACAGGCCTCCTCCCAGGGAGAAGCCCCAAGGGACAGACAGTACTAGAAAGGGGCTCCCAAATATTTATCAACTCCCCAGTCATACCTCTGTGTCAGCCTGCTTAGGGATTAGTGGAGTCAGACACATATTCATAACCTTGCAGTTGACCCTCCTGTAATCTATGCTGGAGCCCCATATCAGCAACGGGGGGAATTAATCAACCTACCAGGCTTAGGAAAGACATGCAAAACACAGAACAATTGATGTCCAGACTGACTACAGTCCAGTAAAGGACACTAAATGTATTAGTGACAACACTGCAGAAGGCAGGGTCGCTACATAACAAATATTTTTTTGTTATGCTATGTGAATAGGAAAATGTAATAAATATAAAGTAGGTGTTATCCCAATTTGGCTACAAAAGTGGAAATATTCTTTAAATGTTCTCACTGTCCTTAAGTAGAATTGCTTCCAAAAACATTCCAGTAACTGGTTGTCCATTTAAACTGGTCTAATTGTGGTGGAGGCTTTAGACTGTAGATATTTCAGGGATAGGGACTAAATGAATGTTTGCTGGAATGTCTACTTGCTTTTTCAAAGGGATAAAACATGCGGGGATATGAATGTATTGCAGAGATGTACGGAATATATTTTTATATAGCCTGGAGCATTTCCCCCCCTTTTCTGCAGCAGTCTAAAGTCCAGGAGTCATCACATTTTATACACAGTGTACGGGTCATGAGGACAGAGAGGGACATATAACCGCTTCAGCGGAGGAGGAGACAAGCAGGAGGGAGCACTGTGACAACCGGCCAGCCCAGAGGATCGGGTGAGTATAACGTTGTTATTTTTGACCCTGTGCAAAAACGAGCACATAAACCTTGCAGTGCTAGGTTAGCCGCAGGCCCCCACTGCAAGGGTTAATTACATTTTTTTAACTGGAGTTGTTCTTTAAGCCACATGAAGCAGGCAATGCTGCAGTACAGTAGTAAATCCTCTGGCATAAACCATATCCAGACCATAGTGAGTAGGACAGCTGAGTAGTCCTTTACTTGCAGTCGGATAACCAGCAGTACTCAGCTGCTTCTCTTTGTTAGCACTAGGCTGTGAAGCTGACACTTGTCATAGTGAAATATTAGGAAATACAGACATGTACGTTAAACAGCAAGAGGCAAAACTGATCTCATTCAGCTGTTGCTTCTTCCCAATAATCTGCAGGCATGAGCATCATCCAATGTAAAACACTTATGAATTACACCAGTGCCATTAGTCTTATATTACAGCTGTGATTTCAAAACACATATGTGTGAAAAAGCAGAACATTTGATTCTAAACCTCTTAAAAAGAAATCTTATAATCTACCCATTTATAAACAGTTTTACTTACAGCCTACATGTTATCGTCTCAGAGTCCCTTGCTCTTGGGCTCATCATCCTTTGCACCAAAGGAAAGAGTTTGCTGTTAAAGTTAAAAAAAATCTCAAAATTGGCAGTAGGAACTGTTAATATGCACACCCTTTTTTTACAGGTATAGCTTGTCGGTGGAGTTTAGTATAGTGATGGGGTCCCTTTAATTACTCTGAGACAGTGTTCAGCATATTACATTTCAAGCATG